ATAGGGGGGCAATGTGGCAGATGTTGCAGGTGTATGGTGTAGGAGGTAGGTTACTGAAAGAGTTTTTACGAGGATAGTGAAGCTCAAGTTAGAGTATGTAGGAAAGAGGGAAATTATTTCCCAGTAAAAGTAGGCCTTAGACAAGGATGTGTGATGTCACCGTGGTTGTTTAATATATTTATAGATGGGGTTGTAAGAGAAGTAAATGCGAGGGTCTTGGCAAGAGGCGTGGAGTTAAAAGATAAAGAATCACACACAAAGTGGGAGTTGTCACAGCTGCTCTTTGCTGATGACACTGTGCTCTCGGGAGATTCTGAAGAGAAGTTGCAGAGATTGGTGGATGAATTTGGTAGGGTGTGCAAAAGAAGAAAATTGAAAGTGAATACAGGAAAGAGTAAGGTTATGAGGATAACAAAAAGATTAGGTGATGAAAGATTGGATATCAGATTGGAGGGAGAGAGTATGGAGGAGGTGAATGTATTCAGATATTTGGGAGTGGACGTGTCAGCGGATGGGTCTATGAAAGATGAGGTGAATCATAGAATTGATGAGGGGAAAAGGGTGAGTGGTGCACTTAGGAGTCCGTGGAGACAAAGAACTTTGTCCTTGGAGGCAAAAGGGGAATGTATGAGAGTATAGTTTTACCAACGCTCTTATATGGGTGTGACTGGGTGAGAATGTTGCAGCGAGGAGAAGGCTGGAGGCAGTGGTGATGTCATGTCTGAGGCAATGTGTGGTGTGAATATAATGCAGAGAATTCGTAGTTTGGAAGTTAGGAGGAGGTGCGGGATTACCAAAACTGTTGTCCAGAGGGCTGAGGAAGGGTTGTTGAGGTGGTTCGGACATGTGGAGAGAATGGAGCGAAACAGAATAACTTCAAGAGTGTATCAGTCTGTAGTGGAAGGAAGGCGGGGTAGGGTCGGCCTAGGAAAGGTTGGAGGGAGGGGGTAAAGGAGGTTTTGTGTGCGAGGGGCTTGGACTTCCAGCAGGCATGCGTGAGCGTGTTTGATAGGAGTGAATGGAGACAAATGGTTTTTAATACTTGACGTGCTGTTGGAGTGTGAACAAAGTAACATTTATGAAGGGGTTCAGGGAAACCGGCAGGCCGGACTTGAGTCCTGGAGATGGGAAGTACAGTGCCTGCACTCTGAAGGAGGGGTGTTAATGTTGCAGTTTAAAAACTGTAGTGTAAAGCACCCTTCTGGCAAGACAGTGATGGAGTGAATGATGGTGAAAGTTTTTCTTTTTCGGGCCACCCTGCCTTGGTGGGAATCGGCCAGTGTGATAATAAAAAAAAAAAAAAAGAAGTTAAGGCAGCATTTGTCTACTCATCTGCAATATATGTACACAGATGAGTAACCACTGAAGACTAAGCAAGACTAGTCACTGATAATGGTCGACTGAATATTTTAATTTTTTTTAAACTAAGGAAATCATATTCTAAAGTGAGATTATCAGAACTCTTAAAGACCATTAGGATGCAATAAAGTAAATGGAAGAGAATTTTATTGCCTCATGACCTGTAAATCTTGAGTCAAAATGAATCAAAGTTTGAAAGTAAAATTAGAGATAAATGTCATTAAATATTAAGAGTGTATGTGCCATCCATATAGCAGAAAAAGAAGCAACAAGCTGTACAGAGAAACAGGAAACAATATGGATGAAACAGCACTGAAGACCAGAGTTTCTATGTGGAGAGAAAATATTAGTAATACAATGCTTTACACAGAAATTAGTTGAAAAGCTATGCATGTTGCAGAAATCTCTTATGAAATAACATGCTCTGCAATGATGAATAAAGTACATATGGAGTTGCTACCACTGTAATTAGGATTCACCACTCCAGCAACACCAGTCAATTCTGAACCTATACATTGTCATTCACAATCCTTCCAACAATATTACTAACAAAAAGTTAAAATCTCACTACTTCTGGTAAAATTTCCCCAAGTTCATCATTTGCTTATGTACAGTATACAACTTTTAAAATATGAGATGTACCCCTGAAGACCAGTGACCCACACTAAGACTTGTGTCCATAGAACCAGATCCTGACACAGTACAATGATGCCAACAAAACACTATGTTCGCCTTACTGTAAGGCTTCTTATACAATATAATACTCAATAACTTATAAAATTCCTCCAACTAATTAAATATCAAAACTATAATAAGTTGCAGTGTAAATGTTTAGTAAATGTATTCAATGCCCATATAACATTGCCTTGTTTATTCAACAAATTCAAACAAGCTTTTTTTTTTTTTTAAACAAACTGGCCATCTCCCACTGAGGTAGGGTGACCCAAAAGAAGAAACACTTTCACCATTATTCACTCCATCACTGTCTTGCCAGAGGTGCCAATACTACAGTTTAAAACAGAAATATCTCCACCCCTCAAGTCCGGCAAACTGGTTTCCCTGAATTTTTTTTTTTTAACAAGTTGGCCGTCTCCCACCGAGGCAGGGTGACCCAAAAAGAAAGAAAATCCCCAAAAAGAAAATACTTTCATCATTCAACACTTTCACCTCACTCACACATAATCACTGCTTTTGCAGAGGTGCTCAGAACACAACAGTTTAGAAGCATATACGTATAAAGATACACAACATATCCCTCCAAACTGTCAATATCCCAAACCCCTCCTTTAAAGTGCAGGCATTGTACTTCCCATTTCCAGGACTCAAGTCCGGCTATATAAAAATAACTGGTTTCCCTGAATCCCTTCACTAAATATTACCTTGCTCACACTCCAACAGCTCGTCAGGTCCCAAATACCATTCGTCTCCATTCACTCCTATCTAACACGCTCACGCACGCTTGCTGCAAGTCCAAACCCCTCGCCCACAAAACCTCCTTTACCCCCTCCCTCCAACCTTTTCGAGGACGACCCCTGAATATCTTCATAAATGTTACTTCACTCACATTCCAACGGTATTCCCAATCGTAAAAACAACTTTCCTCCACTCCTATTTATCATGTTTATGCATGCTTGCTGGATATATAAGTGCCTTGCATACAAAAACCTCTTTACAAAACCGCTCCCTCCAACCTCTCCTAGGACAACACCTACTCTGCCTTCTATCCACTACAGATTTATATGCCCTCCAAGTCTTCTCATTTTGTTCCATCCCCTCTAATTATCCAAACCATCCAAACAACTTCTCTTCAGCCCTCTGGATAATGCTTTTAGAAACCCCACACCTCATAATCTCCAAGCTATGAATTCTCTGCATAATATTCACATCACACACTGCCCTCAGACATGACATCTCTGCTGCCTCCAGGCTCCTTCTTGCTGCTACATTCATAGCCTAAACTTTACACCCATTTAAGAGCATTGGTACCACTATACTCTTATACACAGTCTCTCCAAGGCACTTAGATTGAGGATGAAAAGCATTTGACCCCTTGATAATTTCAGAGTTATCATTTAGAGTACTTGCTACACCCCAGCTTTTCATTTGGGTACTTTACACAATATATCATGCTTCTGCTTGTTTAAGGTGCTATTTTAGTGTGCAGAATCCAAACCAGTACTTCTAAATATTTTCCTGGTGTACTGTAAATTATCTTGTCTTTAATTACAGTTTGAGGGATTCTTAGGCATTAGGTAATAATTTAGCCCTAGTATTTGTGTAAATTTCTGCAGGTAGTAACAATTCTATGTTATTCTCCAGATCTGCAGTTCCATCTTCCTTAAACAGAGCTGTTAGCATAAATCAAAATTCCAGTTTAGAGTAAGGGCACCTAAAAAATTACCCTGATTGCTTGGCATCTCTGTTTTGAAGATTCATGTAATTCTGTTTATCATTTTCCAGCCACTTGCAATATTAACTCGATGATATTCTCTTACCATAAAAAAAAAAAAAAAACTATGAGGCAAAAAACGGAGGTAAAAAGACACTATCATTAAAGGAACTTTCAACTAATATGCCATTTCCCTCTTCCCAGCATTTGACCTCTCCTGGTAGCACCTGACTGGACCTGGCACAACCTCATCTTTCCCTTATGCTTCATATATAATTGTTTTCATGCATTCCAAGCAACAGTCCAATTTTTAATACAGTATATAAAATAAACTAGGTACCAGGCACTTTCCCATACTGTATATGTGTGTGTGTGTTGTTTTTGTGTGTTGTTTGTTGTGTGTGTGCTGTGTTTGTTCTGTGTGTGTTGTTTTTGTGTGTTGTTTTTGTGTGTTGTTTTTGTGTGTGTGCTGTGTTTGTTCTGTGTGTGTTGTGTTTTTGTGTGTTGTGTTTTTGTGTGTTGTGTTTTTGTGTGTTGTGTTTTTGTGTGTTTGTGTTTTTGTGTGTTGTGTTTTTGTGTGTTGTGTTTTTGTGTGTTGTGTTTTTGTGTGTTGTGTTTTTGTGTGTTGTGTTTTTGTGTGTTGTGTTTTTGTGTGTTGTGTTTTTGTGTGTTGTGTTTTTTTTTGTGTTGTGTTTTTGTGTGTTGTGTTTTTGTGTGTTGTGTTTTTGTGTGTGTTGTGTTTTTGTGTGTTGTGTTTTTTGTGTGTTGTGTTTTTTGTGTGTTGTGTTTTTGTGTGTTGTGTTTTTGTGTGTTGTGTTTTTGTGTGTTGTGTTTTTGTGTGTTGTGTTTTTGTGTTGTGTTTTTGTGTGTTGTGTTTTTTGTGTGTTGTGTTTTTTGTGTGTTGTGTTTTTGTGTGTTGTGTTTTTGTTTTGTTGTGTTTTTTGTGTGTTGTGTTTTTGTGTGTTGTGTTTTTGTGTGTTGTGTTTTGTGTGTTGTGTTTTTGTGTGTTGTGTTTTTGTGTGTTGTGTTTTTGTGTGTTGTGTTTTTGTGTGTTGTGTTTTTGTGTGTTGTGCTGTATGTTGTGTGTTGTATATTTTGTGTTGTATGTTTTGTGCATGTGTGTGTCAGTCATTATATATACAGCACATTGTTCCAAATAGTGGAATCACCTGCATACAACAAAATATAAGGATATTTCAAAATGCCATTCTTTGTACAAAAAAACAACTCCAACATTTCATTGTGTACTGACCTCCATGTACCTCATCTTCTGTTGGTCTGTAAAACGATAGACCTAAGGACACAACTGCTGCTACTTGAAGAATAATGAGGGTAACATCTTGTAAAGCTTCCCATACCAGCATCAGGAACGTTTTAGGCGGCTTTGGTGGTATAACATTTGAACCAAATGTTTGCCGCCTGTGCTCCATGTCGCTAGCATTCCCACTCAACCCTGATGAGAATCAATAATGATATATTCTAATAAACTGCATATTCCAGAAACAAAGAACATTTCAAGTGACTATAATACTATATAAAAGAAGTGACCAGAAGTAAAAATGCATAAATACCAGTACTGTATATATATTGCATATACACATCCAACAAGAACAGTATATACAGTATACTGTAGTTCATGAATAACTTAAGTGTATGAACGTTTATCAATAACAAACACACAGACAAACTTTAGAAGATTGATTAATCTGTCGAAATATTCAAATCAATCAATGTTCTGAGTTTCTGTCTTCATGTGGGTTATTACTGAGCACTGTAGTATATTATAATTATAAATGAATTGGTATAGTTTAACCCACATCAATAGATATTCAAATTACTGGACCCCCCAAAACAATGAAGTTTAGGAGTGTAGCCAGGAAGGTCAATGATCTTAGAGCAGGATCTTATCAACAAAACATAATGATAGTAATAAAATAAAGGTTTCAAACTTGGTACAGTATGATATTACCATCTGTAGTGATAATTATAATACAGTAGTAAGTGTGGTAGATCACCTTGGTAACACTACTAAAAGTGTGTCTTTATGGCTAGCCACTAATGTAGTGTCTTGATGGCTAGTCACTAATGTAGTGTCTTGATGGCTAGTCACTAATGTAGTGTCCTGATGGCTAGCCACTAATGTAGTGTCTTGATGGCTAGCCACTAATGTAGTGTCTTGATGGCTAGCCACTAATGTAGTGTCTTGATGGCTAGCCACTAATGTAGTGTCTTGATGGCTAGCCACTAATGTAGTTTCCTGATGGCTAGCCACTAATGTAGTTTCCTGATGGCTAGCCACTAATGTAGTGTCTTGATGGCTAGCCACTAATGTAGTGTCCTGATGGCTAGGCACTAATGTAGTGTCTTGATGGCTAGCCACTAATGTAGTGTCTTGATGGCTAGCCACTAATGTGGTGTCCTGATGGCTAGCCACTAATGTAGTGTCTTGATGGCTAGCCACTAATGTAGTGTCCTGATGGCTACCCACTAATGTAGTGTCCTGATGGCTAGCCACTAATGTGGTGTCCTGATGGCTAGCCACTAATGTAGTGTCCTGATGGCTAGCCACTAATGTGGTGTCCTGATGGCTAGCCACTAATGTAGTGTCCTGATGGCTAGCCACTAATGTAGTGTCCTGATGGCTAGCCACTAATGTGGTTTCCTGATGGCTAGCCACTAATGTAGTGTCCTGATGGCTAGCCACTAATGTAGTGTCCTGATGGCTAGCCACTAATGTGGTTTCCTGATGGCTAGCCACTAATGTAGTGTCCTGATGGGTAGCCACTGGTGAAGTAAATTTATGATCCCAGAACTTACCATTGGTAGGGGAAGAGTAGAGCTTCTTTGTGATTTCGAGCGTGCTGCCATGCTCCCGCTGTATAAGCTCTATGCCCTCGTGGCCACGCGTCTCCATGAGCTCGCGCAGCTGCCGCAGGGTGATGCCATACTGCGCCGGACGACCGTCTATAGTCGCCATCCTGCAGGCTGGCGGCGGCGACGGTGGCAGTCACCTCCAGCTCACCACGCTCAAGGCTCCCTGCTACACCGTCCCTGTACAATACAGTGTATACCTTTAACTGTGGTTCAAAACATGCTCAATTAAGAACAGTTACTGAAGACTCAAAAAGTAACTTGAACACCTAGGCAGTCCCTAATGAAGACTTAAAAAGTAACTTGAACATTTAGGCAGTTTCTTTAAAAATCCTTTCACTATTTGGTGTAAATCTACATTATTGAGGCCAGTATCACTTAAATAGATCTACTACATGTTGATCACAGTGCCCTCAAATATGTTGAGAAGAATATATTTTGGCCTAGACATGAGTGACTGGGTCTGTACAGTGGATGTGCACAGTATTAAATAAAATAATTTGATTCACACAGTGTACGATGGTAACAGCTAACCTCTGACCTTGTTTCAGTTAAAATAATGACTGAGGTGCTTGCTAGGGTGGTTTTCATGGTTTTATTGACTGTTTCTTGGTGTCGACTGATAGACCACAAGACGAACTAGTGAAATGGAGAGGATTTCTATTTCAGACCGGAGGCAGCCTATTTTATGAGTTTTTAGCAGGTTGGCAGATACATCCCCTCCCCCTGCCTGAACCTTGGAAAACACCCCCTCCCCTCTGGCTGAACCTTGCAAGACACCCCCCTCCCCCTGCCTGAACCTTGGAAAACACCGTCCTCCCCTCTGGTTGAACCTTGCAAGACACCCCCCTCCCCTGCCTGAACCTTGGAAAACACCCCCCTCCCCTATGGCTGAACCTTGCAAGACACCCCCTCCCCCTGCCTGAACCTTGTAAAACACCCCCTCCCCCTGCCTGAACCTTGGAAAACACCGTCCTCCCCTCTGGCTGAACCTTGCAAGACACCCCCCTCCCCTGCCTGAACCTTGGAAAACACCCCCGTCCCCTCTGGCTGAACCTTGGAAAACCCCCTCCCCTGCCTGAACCTTGGGAAACACCCCCCTCCCCTCTGGCTGAACCTTGGAAAACACCCCCCTCCCCTCTGGCTGAATCTTGCAAGACACCCCCCTCCCCCTGCCTGAACCTTGGAAGACACCCCCCTCCCCTCTGGCTGAATCTTGTAGACGCCTCCCCTCCCCCGGCCTGAACCTTGCAAGACACCCCCCTCCCCTCTGGCTGAATCTTGTAGACGCCTCCCCTCCCCCTGCCTGAACCTTGTAAGACACCCCCCTCCCATGGATCCAAACCACTGCCTTGAAAGGATCAACTTCCTGGCAGCTGAAGCATGTTCTAGGCATATTCCCCTAAGAAAGAAGAATAGCAGGAGTAAACTGGAGAGAGAAAGACGCTCCCTCTACAGAAGACGACGAAGAGTCACTGAGCTCCTCAGGAGAGCTAGAATATCTGATACACGAAAGGAGGCGCTGACCAAGGAGGTGGAAACTATCGAACTTAAGTTAAATGACTCTTAGTGAAATTGAAAGAAATTCAAAATATTTCTTTTCATATGCCAAAAACAAGGCAAATACCACATCTAGTATCGGGCCCTTACTCAGACAGGATGGGACTTGCACAGATGACAACAAGGAAATGAGTGAAATATTGAAATCCCAGTACGACTCTGTGTTTAGTGAACCACTAATCGGTCTGAGGATCGACGACCCAAATGATTTCTTCATGAATGAGCCTCAAAACTCCATAAATGTATGCTAGATTTCCGACATTACCCTAACTCCGATAGATTTCGAAAAAGCCATTGGCAATATGCCCATGCACTCAGCCCGGGCCCAGACTCGTGTAACTCTTGTTTTCATTAAGAACTGCAAGAAACCCCTCTTGCGTGCCCTAAGTACACTATGGAGGAGGAGCTTGGACATGGGTGAAATTCCACAGTCACTTAAAACAACGGATATAGCCCCACTCCATAAAGGTGGCAGCAAAGCATTAGCTAAGAACTATAGACCAATAGCTCTGATGTCCCACATCATAAAAATCTTTGAAAGAGTGCTAAGAAGCAGGATTGCAAATCACCTGGATTCCCAAAATCTGCACAATCCAGGGCAACATGGGTTCAGGGCAGGTCGCTCCTGCCTCTCACAACTACTGGATCACTATGATATGGCCTTGGATGCACTGGAAGAAAATCAGAATGCTTATGTAATATACACAGACTTTGCAAAAGCATTTGACAAATGCGATCATGGCGTAATAGCCCATAAAATACGTGCTAAAGGAATAACTGGGAAAGTGGGGAGATGGATCTTCAACTTCCTAACAAATCGAACACAAAGAGTAGTTTTGTAGATGAATGGTTCAGAGAACCGACATGTTGATAAATTAGACACATGTGCAACTCTTGGGTATCTTTATTGAGGAAACGTTTCGCCACACAGTGGCTTCATCAGTCCATACGTAGGAGAAACTTGAAAGTTTCTCCTACGTATGGACTGATGAAGCCACTGTGTGGAGAAACGTTTCCTCAATAAAGATACCCAAGAGTTGCACATGTGTCTAATTTACCACAAAGAGTAGTGGTCAACAGAATTAAATCGGAGGCTGCCATAGTGAAGAGCTCTGTTCCACAAGGCACAGTGCTCGCCCCTATTTTATTCATACCAGACATAGACAGAGATATACATCACAGCACCGTATCATCCTTTGCGGATGATACTAGGATCTGCATGAGGCTGTCATCTGCTGAGGACGCGGTTAACCTCCAAGAAGATATAAACAAAGTTTTCCAGTGGGCAACGGTAAACAATATGATGTTCAATGAGGACAAATTCCAACTACTCCGTATGGAAAACTGGAGGAGATAATAACTAGAACAGAGTATACTACAGACTCTGGCCATACAATAGAGCGGAAAAATAATGTAAGGGACCTGGGAGTAGTAATGTCTGAGGATCTCACTTTCAAGGATCACAACAGTGCCACGATCGCACGTGCAAAGAAAATGATAGGATGGATAATGAGAATGTTCAAAACGAGAGATGCCAAGCCAATGATGATCCTTTTCAAATCACTTGTTCTCTCTAGGCTGGAATACTGCTGTACAATAACATCTCCATTCAAAGCAGGTGAAATCGCAGATCTAGAGAGTGTACAGAGATCCTTTACTGCACGTATAAGTTCTGTCAAGCACCTTAACTACTGGGAACGCTTGGAAGCACTTGACTTGTACTCGTTGGAACGCAGGAGGAAGAGATATATCATAATCTACACTTGGAAAATCTTGGAAGGAATGGTCCCAAATCTGCACACAGAAATCACTCCCTACGAAAGTAAAAGACTGGGCAGGCGATGCAAAATGCCCCCAATAAAAAGTAGGGGCGCCATTGGTACACTAAGGGAAAACACCATAAGTGTCCCGGGCCCAAGACTGTTCAACAGCCTCCCATCAAGCATTAGGGGAATTGTCAATAAACCCCCGGCTGCCTTCAAGAGAGAGCTGGACAGATACCTAAAGTCAGTGCCGGATCAGCCGGGCTGTGGCTCGTACGTTGGACTGCGTGCGGCCAGCAGTAACAGCCTAGTTGATCAGGCCCTGATCCATCGAGAGGCCTGGTCATGGACCGGGCCGCGGGGGCGTTGATCACCAGAATAACCTCCAGGTAACCTCCCCTCTGGCTGAATCTTGTAGACGCCTCCCCTCCCCCTGCCTGAACCTTGCAAGACACCCCCTCCCCTCTGGCTGAATCTTGTAGACGCCTCCCCTCCCCCTGCCTGAACCTTGTAGACACCCCCCTCCCCTCTGGCTGAATCTTGTAGACGCCTCCCCTCCCCCTGCCCTGAACCTTGTAAGACACTCCCCCCTTTCCCTCTGGCTGAATCTTGTAGACGCCTCGCCTCCCCCTGCCTGAACCTTGCACGACACCCCCCTCCTCTCTGGCTGAATCTTGTAGTCGCCTCCCCTCCCCTGCCTGAACCTTGCAAGACACCACCCCCCTCCCCTCTGGCTGAATCTTGTAGACGCCTCCCCTCCCCCTGCCTGAACCTTGCAAGACACCCCCTCCTCTCTGGCTGAATCTTGTAGACGCCTCCCCTTCCCCTGCCTGAGCCTTGCAAGACACCCCCCTCCCTCTGGCTGAATCTTGTAGACGCCTCCCCTCCCCCTGCCTGAACCTTGTAAGACACTCCCCTTCCCCTCTGGCTGAATCTTGTAGACGCCTCGCCTCCCCCTGCCTGAACCTTGCAAGACACCCCCCTCCCCTCTGGCTGAATCTTGTAGACGCCTCCCCTCCCCCTGCCTGAACCTTGTAAGACACCCCCCTCCCCTCTGGCTGAATCTTGTAGACGCCTCCCCTCCCCCTGCCTGAACCTTGTAAGACACTCCCCCTTTCCCTCTGGCTGAATCTTGTAGACGCCTCGCCTCCCCCTGCCTGAACCTTGCACGACACCCCCTCCTCTCTGGCTGAATCTTTTAGTCGCCTCCCTCCCCCTGCCTGAACCTTGCAAGACACCCCCCCTCCCCTCTGGCTGAATCTTGTAGACGCCTCCCCTCCCCCTGCCTGAACCTTGCAAGACACCCCCTCCTCTCTGCTGAATCTTGTAAACGCCTCCCCTTCCCCTGCCTGAGCCTTGCAAGACACCCCCGCCTCCCTCTGGCTGAATCTTGTAGACGCCTCCCTCCTCCTGCTTGAACCTTGTAAGACACCCCCCTCCCCTCCCCTGCCTGAATCTTGTAAGACACCCCCCTCCCCTCTGGCTGAATCTTCGTACCCCTCAAGGGAGGTTCCTTGAGGATGGTGAGGGACTCTTGATCTAGGGAATTGGATCAGTGCTCCGGTTCCCTGAATGGAGCCTGAATACCTTCCATCCCCCCACCACGTGCGCTGTATAATCCAACGGGTTTAGCGTTCCCTCAAGATTATAATAATGAATCTTCGTAGACACCTCCCCTCCCCCCAGTCTGAATATTGTCAGGCATCCCCCTAATCCCTCACCAATCAAAACAACATCAAGGTTGCTTTAAGAGGCCAGGTGTTTAAACACTAGGACGTTTCTGCTAGAAGACATTTCGGTCCCGGGACCTAGATGGTCCCAGGACCTAGATGGTCCCAGGACCTAGATGGTCCCAGG